TATGATCAACTCATCATCAACTTGACAAATAGTAATGTCACTAGTCTAGTCTTCGATGACGTTGCAGCTGCTGTTCTACAAGAAGAAAATAGGCGCAAGAACAAGGAAGAAAGACAAGTAAATCTGTAACAGGCAGAAGCGTTGACAACGACGAGAGGGAGATCAACAGAACGTGGCCAAAGTAGCAGTCACAAACATGGTAAATTGAAGTCGAGGAGCAAGAAGAATTTAAAGTGCTACAACTGTGGAAAGAATGGTCACTTGAAGAAGGATTGTTGGAGTCTAAATAAAAACTCCAATCCACAAGGCAATACTGCAAACACTTCAAATGATGGAGATGCTCTATGTTGTGAAGCATCAACCACCGTGGAAGGCAGAAAGAGATTTGCAGATATATGGCTCATTGATTCGGGAGCAACATATCACATGACCTCAAGAAGAGAATGGTTTCATCATTATGAACATGTCTCAGAGGATCTGTGTATAGCTGCAATGATCATGACTTAGAGATCATTGGCGTGGGAACCATCAAATTGAAGATGTATGATGGATCAATTAAATTTATTCGAGATGTGCGGCACGTGGAAGGCCTGAAGAAAAATTTATTATCCTACGGATTGTTGGATAATAATGCAAGCAAGATTGAAACACAGAAAGGAATCATGAAGGTGTTCCGTGGAGCGCTTGTGGTGCTGAAAGGTGAAAAGATAGCAGCAAACTTGTATATGCTGAAGGGAGAGACTTTACTAGAAGCAGAAGCCTCTGTTGCCTCATGTAGTTCAGATTCTGCAATGTTATGGCATCAGAAACTTGGACACGTGTCAGAACAAGGAATGAAAGTCCTTGTGGAGCAAAAACTACTTCCAGGCTTAACAAAAGTAACATTTCATTTGTGTGAGCATCGCATAACAAGTAAGCAGCACCGGTTGAAATTCATCACGTCAAATTCTAGAGGCAAAAATGTTCTAGAATTGGTTCATTCTGACGTATGGCAAGCACCAGTTACATCCCTAGGCGAAGCAAAATATTTTATCTCATTTATTGATGACTACTCCAGAAGATGTTGGGTATACCCTATTAAGAAGAAGTCGGATGTGTTTTCCATTTTCAAAATCTTCAAAGCGCGGGTGGAACTTGATTCTGGAAATAAGATCAAGTGTTTAAGAACAGATAATGGAGGAGAATACACAAGTGAAGAATTTGATGACTTTTGCAGGAAATAAGGCATCAAAAGCAGTTCACAGTGGCGAATACTCCTCAACAAAATGGAGTGGCAGAGCGGATGAATAGAACCTTGTTAGAAAGAACAAGAGCAATGTTGAGGGATGCAGGCCTAGAAAAATCATTCTGGGTAGAAGCAGTCAATACCGTCTGTTATTTGGTGAATCGAGCTCCATCAACTGCAATAGAGCTGAAGACACCAACAGAGATGTGGACTGGTAAACCAGCTGATTATTCAAACCTCCATGTATTTGGAAGTATTGTGTATGTGATGTACAACTCCCAAGAAATCTCAAAGCTGGATCCAAAATCCAGGAAATGTAAAATATTGGGCTATGCTGATGGTGTAAAGGGGTATCGCTTGTGGGATCCCACTGCCCGCAAAGTGATCATCAGCAGGGATGTTATCTTTGTAGAGGATAAACTAGAAAGAAAAGAAGATGATGATAGCACTGAAAAGTCAGAGATTACACAGATACATGTGGAAAAGGAGGTTGAACAAGGAGATTCTTCTGAAGCAGAACCAGCACATGATGAACAAGAACCAGAGAGTTCTGAAGCTCCAAGAACTCGTCAAGGAGATTCTTCTGAAGCAGAACCAGCACATGATGAACAAGAACCAGAGAGTTCTGAAGCTCCAAGAACTCGTCAATCAGATCGTGTGAGAAAACGTCCCAATTGGCACTCAGATTATGTTATAGAAGGTAATATTGCATACTGCCTTTTAACTGAAGACGGTGAGCCATCAATATATCAGGAGGCAATAAACAGCTCAGATGCTTCACTGTGGATGATGGCGATGCAAGAAGAAATTGAAGCCCTTCATAAAAATAATACATGGGACCTTGTGCCACTACCACAAGGAAGGAAGCCAATTGGTAACAAATGGGTCTTCAAAATCAAGCGAAATGGTGACGATCAAGCTGAGAGGTATCGTGCAAGACTGGTGGTCAAAGGATATGCTAAAAAAAGGGTATTGATTTCAATGAAATATTTTCTCATGTGGTTCGACTAACAACAGTTCGAGTAGTTTTGGCAATGTGTGCTACATTGAACTTACATCTAGAGCAACTAGATGTTAAAACAACTTTTCTTCATGGAAATCTTGAAGAAGAGATTTACATGCTATAGCCTGAAGGTTTTGAAGAAAAAGAAAACAAGAACTTGGTTTGCAGGTTGAACAAATCTCTGTACGGTTTAAAGCAGGCGCCGAGGTGTTGGTATAAGAGATTTGATTCATTCATTATGTGCCTTGGATACAACAGACTTAATGCGGACCCTTGTGCTTATTTCAAGAGGTCTAGTGATAACAATTTTGTTATATTGATGTTGTATATGGATGACATGTTGGTTGCAGGACCCAACAAAGATCATATTGAAGAATTGAAGGCACAATTGGCTAGGGAATTTTAAATGAAGGACTTGGGATCAGCAAACAAGATTCTAGGGATGCAAATTCACCGAGACAGAAGTAATAGGAAGATTTGGCTTTCACAAAAGAATTACTTAAAGAAGATCTTGTCACGATTCAACATGCAAGATTGTAAGCCAATTTCTACCCCTATTCCTATTAACTTCAAATTATCCTCCAGTATGAGTCCTAGCAGTGAAGAAAAGATGATGGAGATGTCTCGAGTATCGTATGCATCGGCAGTGGGAAGTTTAATGTTCGCCATGATATACACAAGACCAGACATTGCACAAGCACTGGGAGTGGTTAGTTGTACATGGCGAATCCAGGCAAAGAGCATTGGAATACAGTAAAGAGGGTTTTAAGATACATCAAAGGGACCTCAAATATTGCATTATATTACGGAGGATCAAACTTACTAATCAATGAGTATGTAGATTATGACTATACAGGGGATTTAGATAAAAGCAAATCTACTACAAGATATGTGTTCAAAATTGCAATCAGTTGTGGCTACGTCCACAAAAGAGGCAGAATATGTAGCAGCTACACAAGCCAGTAAAGAAGCAATTTGGTTGAAGATGCTATTGGAGGAGCTTGGGCACAATCAAGAGTATCTCTCTCTGTTTTGTGACAGTCAAAGTGCCTTGCATTTAGCAAGGAATCCAACATTTCATTCAAGGACAAAGCACATACGAGTTCAGTACCATTTCATTCGTGAAAATGTAGAAGATCTATACCAAAGACAACATAGCAGATTTCATGACGAAAGCGATCAATGTTGATAAATTTACTTGGTGTCGATCCTCTTGTGGCCTGTCAAAGACGTAAGCAACATGATGATACAAGGTAGAAAGAATGGTGTGAATATATGATTGTTCCAATCAAATCTTCAAGTGGGAGATTATTAGTTGTCATGCAATTAATAATAGTTGCATAATGCATAATAATGGTTCATAATGCATTGTAAGTTGGCAACAATAATAGTTCATAGTTGGCACTAATAATGGTTGAAAAGTGACATGGCAAAATTACACATTTTAGTCATTGTATTTTAGGGTATTAACAAGATTAGTCCTTAAGCTTCAACTATAAATACCCTAGCTCATTTAGCTTCAAAATCATCCCAAATCAATCTAGCTTTCTCCTTGGTAGATCGAGAGAGGTTGTAATTCCTATTTTCTCATAGTGAAATTCTTTTACTGTTGCCCGTGGTTTTTACCCTATATATTTTAGGGGTTTTCCACGTAAATTTTGTCTCTTTTATCTTCATTTTTATTTTCTCAAATTATCAGTTGCGATTTTGCTCTATCCGCTAGCCGTCTTCCGCAACAAAAAATACTCTACATTAATGTCTTTAAAAATAATTATATTTAAAATAATTGAAAGTCAAATGAATGTTTGACATATAAATTTATATATAAAATATTTTAGCAACTTTTTAAAGAAACTGACCTTTTAAAAAAAACGATGAGAAATTATTTAAATAGCAGTGATAATCTAACTAATGGTTAAAAATTTTAATTGGTACAACCTCAATTGCTTCCTCATTATCCTCAATGTTTATTTGACATATAATTCAGGAAAGATTAAGCCTAACATTTGATAGGAAAAAAATTGAATGTATATCTGAAGCAAAAAGATATAAGGAGACAAAGGTTTCCTCAAAATATTGTCTTGGAAAAAAGTGTTGTGCTTTTAATCAAAACGTAGGAAAATTGAGTCAGTATTTCATTTAAGCCATATAAGGTATTAGAAAGAGTGGAATATGTAGCATATCCATTAAAGATGAAGTGCACTCACAACATATTCCATTGATATTTATTTATTTTTATTTGATTAATTTGGAATAATTATAAAATTGTATTTGTTTGAAAAACTCAAATCATTTGTAAATGAGCATTCAAGCATCTCTGTATACAATGTACTCAAACCCAAAAGACCAATAACAATCACCCTGAAATCGTTTAATAACAACCCAACCATACCCTGAAAAAGCCTCATGAAGAATTATGGTGCGACAAAAGCCACTTTAGAGTCGGAGTCGATGAGACTTCGTTTTTACATTCTTATAATTAATCTAAATTGAAAATACGTAATTGTTTCATTATTGTTTACTATTTTGGCATACAGGTAAAGGCACGCATCAGCTTTAAAATATAAGATAGAAACCAAATTCAAATACTAAATTAGACAACAAGGCGTTTGAATCTCCAAAGTTTTGACTCTGGCAAAAGGAACTCTCAAGTACCAATTTGGACCTTTTGGCTTTTTTTAGGATCCTTTAATTTCTCCAAGAAAAATACATGAATCTGAATGACCCATTTGGTAAATTCCTTTGTTATGGGTTGTCATTAAACACGTTTTCAGTTGATCAAACCTCGAATATCATCCACTAAGTCGATATGATCTTCCTCTGAAAGCCACACCTGTTGAGCTATCGGGCTGTGCACTGGGTCGACTGCTTGGCTGTGTTGGAACTCCTATTCTCCATCTTGCAACCACTTTACTTCTATGTAAACAGTAGCTGTCAAGGAAAATAACACCAACACAAGAAAATTGATGTTCTTATGTTGTAAATGTCATCATTAGTCTCAGACCTGTTTGAAAACTTTGGTTTTTATCCATGATCTTTTCAGTTCTGTTTTGAATCCACCGCACCATCAGCATTCTGTTAAAATTTGGTCAGAATTTACCATGTGTATGTCCACCGAGTTGTGACAAGGCAATTTAGTTTACTTCAATCCAAATTCTAACCGAACAGTGATGGATGGATTTAGAACAAATTCAAGATTATGATCATGAATGAAGATGAATTACTATAAAAGATCAAAGACTAAGGATGCAATTTACATGTTCCTATGATATGTATATATAATTGCATGCAAAGAGTTGATAAGTCATGTGGCAATTCGAGTCAAGAAATTAAACAATGTAAGGATACACCCACATAGGTGTCTTCAGGAAGACCTTTCCGGTTGCAAGAGGATGCAACACGGTCAAGAAGTAATATAGATGTCCAGCAATGATTCCGAGGAGATCCGGGATGAGAGGTGAACCAAAAATAACATCCAAAGCAAGCATTGCCCAAGGTAGATAGAATGCCTAAAGCGATATACATAGAAGTATGCATTGGAACACAAAATCTCAGCCCCAGAAAGCCTATATAAACATTATAGTCCCAATTAATACATGCCTAAACTTGCAATTAAGCTTACCTTAAGAGTCACAAGACCGTATATGTTGATTTGAGCATTTGGGAACTCTCTACTCCAGACATAAAGGAGCATGAAAACAAGAGATACCCCTAGGAAAGGGGTTCTAAATATCGGGATTGCTGACAAAACCTAAAACCACAACAGGAAATAATGGAACGGAAAAAAATATAAATTAGAAAAGAACTGATGATAGATTGCACATTCGCAATGAACATATTTCTTACAAGATAATAGATATAGAGAGGCTATATTATGAGCTTGACACAAGATTCTCTTCTTCTTTTTTTCCTTCAAAAATTTTCATGAATTACGAGCGTTTCATGGATTACATCCCCATTTGCATCCGAATATGTGTTGGACATGGATACTTCAAGAAAAATGAAGAATTGGAACAACATAGCACAGAGGTGATCATTAGCTAAAGACCTAAACCAGCCAGCCAATATCTATATCACATGCTTTTAGCAGTGATTCGTAGCAAAGATACAAGACCAGAGAACATATATCAATTTTGCTAAGTTCTTAAAGCATGCCTTCACTACCATACAATGATTTGACCACATCTCAATTTGAACAACCAAATTACAAAGCTACTAAATAAGAGAGGACTATGGTATCACTCACCAACAATGATAATGCACCAAATATCATCATCCATAAGAAATCAGCTGTCCGTCTCTCAAATGGCCCCTTCTCTAGTTGGACTCCATATCTTGCTCTGTACAATCACAAAGATAGTCACAAAACAATCAGCACTTAAAACCTCAAAGAGTCAGTGTTGCAAAAGGCCATAACCTTCTTACACTAGAAGATAATATGGAAATGATTGTAAGCTTTCAAAAAGTGATACTAACATCATTAAAAGGCGTATCCCAAAATTGATAGAAAATTTCCCAAGGAAAAAGAAGTTTGTAATCAGCCTCCAAACCTACAGTCATATGTGAAGTTATAAGAGAGTTCTCCAGATTGACTACAACTTGCATAAATATTTATGAAAAATATCAGATTATAAATTATCCCAGACATTACACACATGCAATTTCATACATAGAAGCCTACAATAAACTTGATCCATTTGATTTTATAAACAAATCTTTGAGCACAACATAATAAACCTTTATTTTCCGTTTTTTCCCTCGGATAAAATCAATAATGCAATCATCTATAGGTTGCAAAATTTATGCAGTACACATAGGAACACCATTCCATAATCTAAGTTGAGCAAAATCATATTCAATTAGAGAAAACCAGTAACGAAACACTTTTTCTCTTGCAAAAAATTATTGAGATTTAGGCACTATGCATCTCCTTTACAATCAAGCCCTTATATAATTCATACCTGAAAGTACTTGAATACATATTCATATAGCAACGCAATGTAAAAAACATTTAACAGTCCTAATTGGAAGGCTGTAGTGAACAATAAGCATGCAGTCCCATAAGCCTTGCTTATTGGTGGAAGAGAGTTATAAAATCTGAAACCAAATGAATAAAATAGTCAAAAATATAAATAAATAAAGAAATAATAAAAAAAAATGATACAACTAACAATGAAACAGTAATGTTGGAAATAAACATGCTTTCATAACTCATCAGAGACAGTATTCCCACAAAAACGAGAAACCATGTAGCCTAAACTAAAATTGATACAATCAAAAGCTACATTACTCAAACTCGTATCTAAGTGTCAGATACATGTATGTGCTCGAGGCGTGTATACTCATTTTTTTCAAGTTTTTCCATGTACTTCAAGAATCCCTGGAGGGTCATATTTACATAATCATATCCATATATGCATCTGACAAAATCAAGAAAAGTAAAACATCGGGGTAACAGAGATCAAAATTACTACTGCTCATTAACTTATGCAGCTGTTACTGTCAAGTCGAAAAGGCATGGAAATTAAGAAGACAAGACCTTGGTCATCAGTTTAGAAACATTTTTAATGGCAAGAATACTTTAAAACTTTAACATAACAAAATAACAATGCTTTATCATGAGGTTCAGCATTTAAGAAATCCTACACCATAAGCGATCATCTAATTTCAAAAATCATATTTTTCAATTTATTTATAAATGGATTTTCATACTAATGGTCACGTTTAGCAGAATTACAAGTTGTGAACCACAGTTAGAATGACTTCTGGGGGCTTCACCACTCTGGCAACTTCGTTTCGACAATATCAGACATGGCATGTTTGAATCAATATTTGGTAAAACTGGCAATGAACACAATAACTAGTTCAATTTCTTCTGAAGTAAAACCCAGTACCCAATTTTTGGTCCGAAGAGGAACATTCCACAAATGGCATCCCTTACTCTTTAAAATATTGGAGTATATAAAAGCCAATGCTATGTTCGGGAACATAGCATTGACAATTTATATTTCACTTGATATATAAATTGAAATAACAAAATGCACACATTATGCATAAATTAGTTAAGATTCAATGTGGTTTTATATTTCAAAAGTCTGAGAACTGGAATTACAAGTTGACAAATATCTACAAGTATTTCAAATTCACCTCAAATAGTCATCAAAATCCATGAATTTGAAAAAAAAATATCATTGATGTTCCATTTACATGTATTTTGATACACGATTACAGTATTTTTTTTTTTAAAAAACGCAACCTTAAAATTTACAGTAATCCTATAACTCTATATCCTTGGTTGTGAAATTCTAACCAAGACATATGAATTCAACCACATAACTAAACAAAATTATCCAGAAAAATGAAACCGTAGAACGGCGATAACAATTAACAAAACTCAGTACGAAGGGCCGCAGAAACAATTTAAAACAATCAATTCAGAAAAGGGAACAAAAAGTTTATCAAAGGAAAGATAAATGCGACTTACTCAGCCGGTGAAGACATTGCAATCCTAAATAAGAACTCGTCAAATGAGAATAATCCACAAATCAAAGATGTATCTTTTTTTTAGTTAAATTTTATGCTTTGAAAAACAGGCGAAGATCTAGAAAAGGCTCGGGGATTCTTCCAATTTTGACCTAGAAAGTTCAAACGATTACGTTTAACCGGCTGCCATCTACTGTGATTTGGGCCGGAGATGATATGAAACTTGGGCCCTAAGCCATTGATTTGCAAACTTGGGTTTTCATAATTAGGAGCTGCCCAGTGGCAAAGGTGTCTTAGACGAAGGTCTAGTTCTTTATTATTTTCAAAAGCGCCTTTTGAAATTAAGAACACATTTGATATAATAAGTAATTGAGGATAAAATATTTTTATATAAAAATAATTTTAAGATTATTTTTTAAATCAGTTTTTCAATTATTTTTTATATAAAAATTCAAGATTTATATAAAAAAAAAACTTTTTAACATATCTTTAATAATTGGAATCCAATTATTTTAATATCTTTATTTGCAGTAAACATTTTAACTTGAGCTCGATGTCACAAGGTTGAGTCTCAACTAGCGATCCATGTGTCCTTGGCTAATAAAACATTAAAACTTGAATCATTGGCTTAAATCAGTCTGCAAAATAACCCGTGAGAATCTATAATTCTTTAAGACACTTAAAGCACTAATACTTAAATGAGCACAAATAAAAAAAAAAAAAAAAGAAAGGCAACAAGACAGGAAGAGAATAAGAGAGATTTAGAGTAAATGTTTATTTATTGGGAATAAATGGATGATATAAATGTTGTGAGAAAGATTTTTATTTATAATTGTGTCTCTGTAAATGATGCATATTTATTTATAGGATAAACTACACGTTTACTAATATAATTATTATTTTTATTTTATTTTGATCATCTAACTATTATATTTTTTTAAAATCATATATAAAGTTATGTTTTAATTTCATTTTGATTATCCGTTATTAAAAAATTAGCAGAATTGCTGATGTGACATTTAAAAAGAAAATTAATGATGAAATAGCATTACCTTATGAAATCCATCAGTATTATCATTAATTTTTTAATGATTAGTGACCAAAATAAAACCGAAACATAACGTTAAATATGGTTTTTAAAAAAATAATTGAGTGACTGAAATGGAACAAAAGTGATGATTGGGGTACTAAATGTGTAGTTTACCCTTATTTATATTAACAACTAAGATGAACTCCCATCTAACTAAAATAGGCTAACTAAGCAAACTGTATCACATCTCCATTTATTTTCTTTGTAGTGTGTTCACATTTATGGATTTACTCATCCTAGAAAATGATGGAAACATTTTTTCAAGTCCAATATGACCTTGCATTCTTCAAGTATGGACCAAATCATGTGATCTGAATAAGTTCAATATATTATTAAGAACCTCTTAGGCCTCAACTCGTGATCCACAGTGTGGTGAATGTAGGACTGTTCAAGATGGACAAGTATTTACTCTGAAATTCGAAATTATTTATATTAGCAGTTCATTTTATAGAGGGTGTCCATTTTGAAATTTTATTTGTGTCTAGCGGCTTTAGTCTATACGAAAAATTTATGTTATTAATATACATGTACCTACCTTAAAAATACTTACAGATCCCCTACCGATGATCCACGACATTAATCTCAACTTCTAGCACCCAATTGCATACGTATTGAAGTTTATTTTGTAAACACCTATAGGTATTGAATTTTCTTTTAAGTTAAAACTCAGCCACTGTTGCTCTTAAGTATTGATTTTTCTTTGGAATCAAACAGAGAGCATAAATGTACAGGCCGCCATTCTGTAAAGAATAAACAATGTTCTATATTTAAATACACATACAGTGAGAGTTCTACACTTATAAAGTACTTGGATAGTCTCATTTGCTTGGCCTCATTAGTTCTATAAAAGTTTCTATATAATTGTTTTGTAATTTTCAAATGTTTATACGCCTCATCTCATAAATCCCGCTTGCCACGACAACATAATTCAATTCACACAATGAACAGGAAAAAAATAGCGAATGAGACTTAAAAAGGGTTCATTGAGTGTGAATGTAGTCGTTGGACTTGATTGATTTTTTTTCTTTTTGAGGGTTATTTTAGGTATTAACCTTCATCGTTTTCTGAAAATTGAGCCGTAACCTGCACATGTTCTAACATACGTAAAGCAAAACAATTTCCAGTCAAATTTTGTGCTCCAAGTTCAACAATGATTGTTGAGTTCGCTTTGTGTAAAGTATATTTATTTTTTGCCCAACCATGACCCAAATCATGGGATTAAGGAAAAACATGCGAACCCCACAGTTTGCAGAAGCTATTATTTCACTAATATGTTTGCTTGCTAGCTAAGGGTCAAAGAATTTATTGTTCAACATGGCACAACCTTAACTCCTTACTTTCAACCGCAACTTGTAAAAAACGGCACTTAAGGTATGCAGATGCGTAAATACTGTCGAACAACAGGGGAAATACCCAAGTTCGATAGGGCAAAGCAGCTTCATTTGGCCTTGAACTTGCTGCTGACAGAGTCGTATCTTTGGACATTAATGACTGCAAAACATGAGCAAAACCAACGAGTTAATATTTTAAAATGCATTCTAGTAAAACAAATGAATCCCAGTGCTTTTATGTTTTAACTAAACAGAGAACTACCATTCCCGTATGATGCCATTGTGAGATTAGAAGATAGAAGATTTTCGGCTGCTGAAGAAATATCCTTTGGTGTAATTTCATCAACGACCTTCAAGAAATGCTCCACAGGCTTCCTGATAAATTCAAAACAATTTTATTAGACAAAGGAAATATCATAGTGGTTTACTAGTAAACTGAAATATGAAAAAGAAAACAGTAATAGATATAGATGTCAACAAGAAGCTAATTAGCAGTGTCATTGTCGATCACGGAAATGGCGAAAAGCTAGAATATATAAATGGTCGTACCTCTCCCCATATGTCAAGATTTGTTTGCCAATATCTTCTGAAGCAACTGCCTGCAGAAAACACCTCACGAGTAAACAGCAACACTTGGCAGGAGAATATGAACCCTCAAGGACCTCAACCAGCAGAATTAAGTTCAACTATAATCAATAAACAAAAGAGATCGGTTAACATACTCTGGATTCCAAATTCATCAAAATGGCAGACTTGGTTGACTGTTTAGCACGGTCCAGTTCCTTCTGCTCAACTGTAAAGAACACCATGAAAAATGTTCCAATAACAGGCAATCGAGTGAGTGTTGCAGCAAATACCAAGTAATTGCCAGAATAAAGAGCTGCTAACCTTGTCCGGGTGTTGCAACAGCAATAAGCTCATTGGCAGCTACATCAATGGCAGAAGGTACAAAATCAGAACCCTGAGTCCAGAAACATCAGTCTCATCAAGATTAGTACTATCATCAGACAGTATCTGTACTATAGGAAATCTAGAATTAATTTAATTGAAAGACCAAGAAAAGAGAGTTGAGAGAACAGACAGGTAACAACAATAGAACAATTTGATTAAGCCAAGAAAAACTTGAAATGTGAGTCATTGTGGCCTTGTACCCAAGCCAATTACTAGCATTTAACAAATACATTTCTTGCAATCAATGAGTTAGTTGTGAAAGTCCCTATTGTTAGTTTATATGGAACTGGGCAATTTCACTCTCTCATGGCTGTAATCGGAAATCACTAGCATTTAACATCATTTACATGCTAACATAAATTAACTGTTATGATTTACGAGCTTTACCATCCAAGAATTTTCCTAATTCAATCTAACAAAGGAAATATAAACTCAGAACACACCATCCATAACACCATCAAACCTGATCTGTTGTCCTATATTTTTGGCAAAGCCTGTGGCTTCAACATCACTAGTGCCAAAGGAAATAGTAAAACGAGACAAAACAAAAGAGCAACAGTGGAGATAAAAATGGAACAAAGAATCTCTCCCCAACAAAAAAAAAATCCGTGCAGAACAATGTACCCAATAAAAGAAAGTCCTCAACTTGAGATCTTGCTACACAAAGACATATGGGAGCAGGGAAGATAGAGGTAGGAATAGATAACTATACAAGAATAAGCAATGAAAGGTTTAAAAGCCAACTCACAGTTGTAGCTTGTATTCCAAAAAAGCCAGTATGGTTGTAAATGCTGTTGAATGCTGAAAATGACTGAATTTGTGGATACTGATTCAAGACGCGAAGATCTGCTCTTAATTTAACCAAAGCACTTTCAGGCTTAATTATACAGATAGGCTAAATTACTAAAAGAAACTAGGTGTCTGGTTTCCGAAAAAAGTTGAACATAAAGTATTCACTAAAATAACAAATTACTCTTTCTACCTTACTCTAAAACTATAAAATGTCATATACTGAAAGGTAAAGAGTATACACCACAATCAACTTACGTAGTCTTGAATACATTCCTTTTCCAGGGCCACCAGCTGAAAACGATCCACCACCTCCCATTAGAATCTAGAGAACAATTAGATTTATTATTTATCAATCTTCTTATATTGAACAGTAGTGAACAGGGAGAACAAAAAATAAAATAAAAATCAAGCAAGCAAGATAGCAAAATCCTAGCAAGATTTTTTATTAACTACATCAAAAATAGAAGCGTTGCATGACAAGGACACTGAGCAGATATAGAAATTCAATGTTAGAAACCTGAAGAACGGTCAAAATTATAGCTTCCTTTTCATTGTGCCAACCACCAGGAAGTTCAAATGCAAGAGCAAAATGAGTTAGATCCTGCAATTTAAAATCATTTACAACTCAGACTGGGAAGAAAAATAAAAGCAAAACTCATTTTAAAGTATTTTTCATGATGCATACCCCTGAATCAGCTTGGCAACGAAAATCTCCTCCAGTATACACAGATTTTGGTTCCTGAGAACGAGGGATATTGGGAAGGTCTGACAAAAGTGGTTCTGCAACAGACAACAATTCTTCATGTTCAACACCAGTTGCTGCCAGTACCATCCGAGAAGCAGTAAAATTTTCCTAATATTTTCATGGCAAAACAAATTAACTAGTGAGAAGGATATACAATGGTCAGGTAGAATGTGAAGTGCAATTAACAATTAGCAGTTAAAGCATAACCAATTAAGTT